GCGGGAAGGAAGCAAGGCAGGTGAGAAGCAGAAGCGCCACTCCGCAGACGGCGCACGGCATCAGGGCAAGGAGTCACGCGTCGCCCAGCGCAAGTGGCGCACGGGCGGGGCCCTCAGAGCGAAAGGACGAGCCCAGCCAGCCGTCAAAGAAGGGGGCGACAGGCAAAGTGGTAGGCGAGCCGCAATGGAGGCGGCCCCCTATTGGGGGCCTGCGGCCTGGGCAAGACAACCACTGCGCGCATAAGCTGCAACGCACCAGCATGATCCAGCGGGCGCATCGCTCGCTGGGCGAAAACGGCGCGCGGGGGGGGGAACCAGCCCGAGGCCGGCGCGAGGCATCACGACCTGGGCCGACGGGAAGGGTCGAGCCACTTCACGGAGTCGACCAGGGGGGGGGGAGAGCTGCGCCAGGCAGCCGCCGGGGCGGCAAAGCAGGAGGTGAACCACGATGGCAGAGACCCGCAACTGGGGCAGCAGACGCTGCAGACAGGGGCGCGGCCCTTATAAGCCGCTCGGGCTGAAGGCGGCAGCACCGGCGGGGGCGGCCCAGCGCGCGGCCCGCTCGGCGAGGGGACGGCGAGCCAGGGGCGGGGCAGAGCGGAGGAGAAGGGGGGGGCGCCCAGGCGCGGCCGCGCACTGTTCGGGCTGGACGATGCGCGGGAGCCCAGGCGTCGGGCGCGCCATGGAGGCGCGGCAAAGAGCAGCTAACAGGTGCGCACGCTGGCGGGATGGGTAGCGGGCGGCGATCTCCCAGGTTGGAAGGGCGCAGACGCCGCCAAAGGCGGAGCCAGGTAGAAAGGAAGTACCTCACTGGTGCGCATGCTGGTGGGAGATAGGAGGTGCGGTGGCCTCCCGGGTTGAACGCTCACCGCAGTCGCCAGCAAGTCCGGGTAGACGGACGCACCAAACTAGCGCGCATGCCGGCGGAGAAACCACCGCCACCGCGCGGGCCTCCTGGGTCGGAAGACCCCCGCGGGCACCGGCGCAACTAGGTAGACGGGAGCACCTAACCTGCGCGCTTGCTGGATGAGACTGCGCGCGGGGCGCCTGGGTCGGGCTCCCGCGCGCTTGCGCCGATCCCGAGGCGAATCCAACCGCGGCGACAGAGGGTGCGCCGCCCTCCTCCAACAGAGGCGAACTGCCACGGAGACCCTCCCCAGGGGAGAGCGCGGCAGCGCTCTCAAACCAGGTCGGCGACATCGGGCCCGGGTCCTCCTCGCAACGAGCCTCTCCGCCTGCAGCCGCGCTGACAGCGCCTGTCGTGGCACCCGCGCACGCCGAAGAGGGGCGCGCCCGACCGGGATCCCGAGGTGAGTCCAACTGCGGCGACAACGGAGGCAACAGTCGCCTCCGACGGGGGCGAAAAAGTCGCGGAAGCCCCCCCAAGGGGAAAGCGCGGCCTCGCTCTCACACCAGGTCGGCGGCGAAGGGCCCAGGTCCGCCCCACGCGGCGGCAAGGGCGGCGGCATTGCTGTCACACCAGGGTCGCCCTGGGGCTGGGCACGCAACGGTCGCGTTCATGGGCGCTGGTCCCCGGCCTGGCCCACGGACCACACACCGTGCGGCTGCCGCGGCAGCATCACGCCTTCCCGCTCGGCTCGTTCTATAATTAGGTTCGTGAATTGCGACTACAGGCGGTCCACGACCACTTCGGGCCAAAAAACCCAAACCAGAAAGAAACACCAGGAAATCTTGAAACCAAAACCTGGGGAGGTTGACATCCTGAAAAAAACTCAAACACCGAACCTGCGAAAAACTCAAACCCACAAAAACATTCGAAAAAACCTGAAGCTCAAACCTAGGAAAAAAAAAACTCAAACCAAACAAAAACTCTAGAAAATATCTAAGCCGGCACCTGGGAAAAACTGTGGAAAAACTGTGGAAACAACTCTGGAACAAAACTCTAAAAAAACTCTTTACAAAAAAACTCTGGAAACAACTCTGGAAAAAACTCTGGAAAAACTCTAAAAAAACTCTGGGAAAACTCTGGAAAAACTCTAAACGACTGAAAACTCAAAAAAAACTCTGGAAAAACTATGGAACAACTCGGGAAAAAAACTCTGGAAAAACTTTAAACCAAAACTCTAAAAAAACCTTCCGGGTTTGAATTGTTTCCGGGTTTCCGCTTCAAGTTTTTTCTCCGTGTTTTTAAGGTTTGCGTTTTTCCCAGGTTTCGGCTTCAATATTTCCTGTAGTTTCTTCTGTGTGTAAGTTTTCCCCAGGTGTTGTGTTTGACATTCCCTCAGGTTTGCTTGGATTTGAAGCTTCCCATTCAAGATTATATAACATGTTGTTGGAGTTTGAGTTTCCGGCCGAAGGTGTTTTGAAGATTTGGGCAGGATTTCCGCTGGACCGCCTGTAGTCAATTCACGAACCTAATTCTATAACGTCGTATCCAGCGGCGGCGAGCCCTCGGAGGAAGGCCGCACATTGGAACGCTGACCGCCTCCCCGGGCCCAAGGTGGCGCGTCGCCTGTCCTCATCTTGCGCCATGCAAAAGGCGGGCCAACTTCTAACAGACGTAGCGCCAGCCTCGCGTCGGAGCCGTTCGACACAATCGCCAGGAGTCTCGCCAGCAAGGGGCCCCCACTGGATCAGCCAGCGGGGCCGCTTGTATAGCTTGTCGGCAACGCAGCTATCTCGCGATGCCCTAGCCCATCGCCGCGCGCCCCCGGGCCATCGCAGCCAGGGACCGCTTACCCGCCCGCGCGGCGGCGGCGATTAGCTCCAGGGCCGAAATGGGATCGCTGGTCGACGCCAGGGGCGGGGTCTGCGCGGGACTCGGCAGCCGGTTGCGGTCCCCAGGGCTGTCGCTGGCGCCGTTGGCTGGGACCTCGACCGAGGCGTCGGCCAGCGCGTCGAGCGAGACGTCGGCACGCGGGCAAGGGGTTCCCCAGGCCTCCGCACCCTGCTCCTCCGCAACATCGCCGGCGTCGGTTGTCGTCGCCCGAGCCAGCGCGCTGGGCTCAGTCGGCACGGGCCGGGTTTTCGGCCAACATCGCGACCAGGCGGCAGCGAAGCGTCGGACGCCATCGGGGAGGCTCACGGTTGCGAGGACCGGCGGGCACGCGGCCAGGGGCGGCGCACCGGGCGGGGCCGGGCACGGGAAGTCCGCGCCCGCCGTTTCACTCCTCCCCGGCCTTGCCCCCCACTGCAGGAGCGTCGTCTCCGCCCAGCATCGGCGCGTACTGGCCTCCATCCACCAGGCGGCAGATAGCGGCGGCGTCTGCCTCGTCGGAGGCGACGGCGGCCGCGGCGGCCCCTGCGTTGACTTCCACCAACGCCTGGCCGCACCCTCGGAGGGTGCACGTACCTGATGGTGTTGGTGCTCTCGGCTGTGCTTGCGAGGATGCTGACGTCGGAGCTTCCCGCTGGGCTGGCGGGGATGCTGGCGTCAGAGCTCCTAGCGGTGGTGGCGAAAGTGCTGCTGCTGGTGGTGACGAGGATGCTGACGTGGGCACGTTCGGCTGCACTAGCCAGGCGGGGGCATCAGCGCTCCTGGCTGCGATGGCGAAAATGCTGACGTCTGCGATCGCGGCTGCGCTGGCAGAGATGCTGTCGTTGGTACTCCTAGTTGCGCTGGAAACGCTCCTGGCGCCAGCACACCTTGCCGAGCTGGCGGGGATGCTAATTCAATGTTCCACGCTGTGCTGGCGAGGATGCTGGCGTCAGTGCTCCCCACTGCGTTACCGAGGATGTTGAAGTTGGCGTCGGTCATCCAAGCACTGCTGACGACGATGCAAGCGTCCGTGCTCGCGGCTACGCTGGCAAAGACGATGGCGTCGGTGCTCCTGGCCCCGATGGCGACAATGCTGGTTTCCGTGCTCTCGGTTTTACAAGCTAGGATGCTGACGTCCGTGACCCAGATGTGACGGCGAGGATGCTGGCGCTGGTGCACCCCGCTGTACAGGCGAGGATGCAGGCGACGGGGATCCAGGCTGTGCTGGCGGGATTGCTGGCGTCGGTGCTCTCGGCTGCGCTGGCGGGATGATGGCGTCGGTACTCCTGGCTGCGCCGGCGTAGCTCCTAGCGTCGGCGTTCCTTGCCGAGCTGGCGGGGATGCTGCCGTCGGCGCTCCACGCTGTGCTGTCGAAGATATTGGCGTCAGCGCTCCCCGCTGTGCTACCGAAGATGCTGACCACGGTGGCCCAAGCTGCGTCGACGGGATGCTGGCGTCGGTGATCCAGGCTCTGCTGACGAGGATGCTGGCGCCAGTGCTCTCGGCTGCGCTAGCGGGAACAGTTGCGTCGGTACTGCTGGCTGCGATGGCGACGATGCTAACGTCGATGATCGCGGCTGTGCCTGCAGGGTTGCTGACGTCCGCGCTCCCGGGTGCGGAGGCGAGGATGCTGGCGTCGGCGTGCCCCGAAAAGCTGGCCGTGGCGACGAGGGCTCTTCGGGAGAAACAAAGGTGCCGGGATCTTCCCCTCCTCTGCCTCCCCGGGATTCCGGCCGTGGCGACGAGGGGCCCTCCAAGACGAGCAGCAGTGCGAGGATCTCCCCCTCCTCCGACGCCCCGCGAGGCCGGCCGTGGCGACGAGGGCTCTTCAAGACGAGCAGGGGGGTCAGGATCTCCCCCCCGTCCGACTCCCCGAGAGGCCAGCCGTGGCGACGAGGCCTCTCCAGGACGAGCGGGGTCGGAGCCGAGGAGCTGGTCAGCGTCACCATTCCAAGCCATACCAGCGTTGCGACTAACGGGATCTCCCCCTCCCCCGCCTGCCCGAAATCCCCAAGGACTCCCCGAGAATCCGGCCGTGACGACGAGGGCTCTCGAGGGCGAGCAGCGGCACCGGGTTCGTCCCCGACTCCTTGGAGCTGCCCGGCGCTCCCATCGGCGGTGGACAAACCTCCCATTAATAAACCACCCTTTGGTGAAAACGGCCTAGGACCGAAACCGACGGACTTGGACCCGAACCGAAAGCGGCTAATCCGCTAATCGACGTGTCAGGGTGGGAGGTCTATCAACCTCCGATCCTGTTTGGGCTCAGGGGTGAGCCGGGAACACTGGTCCAACCAGAATTGCGACTAACTGACGCGCTGACCAGTGAGACACCATCCGTGAGGCTCCCCGGGGAAAACAAATCATGGTGTGGTAAGTGCCGGCTTTGTGGTAACACCAGCATCTGCAGTTGTAATGGATAAATGCACGTAGGTCTTTTGACATTGCCATTCCGTGCGTACGATTAAACCTTCGCCTGCCATTTCGTCGCCGTTCGCCGAAATGCCAGAAACTAGATAAATCTAAAAACTTCGCCAGACGGCCTCCGAAGCTGCCAAGACGCCCCACCAGGCCCCCAAGATGCGTCCAAAGAGGGTCCCAAGAAACAAGAATCGACCCATTCCCTTGGACTAAAAAATGTTTCGCATACTCGCCTTTTCGGCTTTCACAACGTCCAAGACGGGCAAAGAAACCTTCAATATCGGCCGAAGGGGCCCCCACGAGGGGTCGAAGAGGGTCCAAAAACAGCCCACGAAGCCCCGAAGACAGCCCAAGAGGGCCCCCCGACGGCTCGGGAGTGCAGAGGGCACCTGTTCGAGCCTTCGGCCCTAAGACGCCCCCAGCCTGCCCCAAGAACACCCCGAGAGGCCCTGAGGGACCCCCAAGAGAACTTCAAAGGTCTCCAAGGAGCCCCCAGGAAGCCTCCAAGAGGCCCCAAAACTTGGCCCAAGATGCCTCGAGGCGGCTGGATATGGCCTGCAGACAAGCCAAGATGCCACCGAAAGGCCACAAAAGAGCACCAAGAGGTACGATAGCAGCAACGAAACAACAGGAACGATGTTGAGCGCCGTGTCATGATTCGGACAAGCCTCGTGAAATGCAGTCCTGGAGGCGCAATAGTTTATTAGGGGTCGGCGGATGTGGCGTAAGCCTATAGGATCTACAAATTTCAGTAGTGATCTGTCGATGTGGGATACACGAGTAAAGACCATGTGTCGGCGACGTGCAGCAACTCCGTTCGACGTAACATCATGCGTATGGCGATGCTTGTTTTTTTTTGATTGCCCAGGCACTCTCCATTGTTCAACATATCCATATTGTTGAATACTCTTCGGCAAATTCCTCCATGATGAATTCCATGAGAATATCAACGAGGCCGAAAGAAGAGACTGGCCCTCGTGACCAGTCTCTTCCAACACGCCGTCTTAGTCTCCATGTATGTTGTTGGGGGGTGTCGTCATGCATGTGCATGCGTGTTGGCTCCGCGCGATGTCTGTGCAAAAAATTATGACTGCTCTCCAAAGCTGTCTGCAAGTCTTTCTAAGCATGGCAGTGTCTGAACCAACATAGTCTTCATAATGCCCAATTTTGCTATCTGGCATAGTCGCATATGTGTTCGGCGCATTCGTCCACTCCTTCGCACACTTTTGGATGTTTTGGCTCACGGTCACACTCACACGGGTCCGAATGCGGCACATGGCACGACCATCGCAAAGTACTGCAAGTGAAAAGCGTATGATGTGGGGGCCTCGTCCCACCCTGGGCCCACAATGCCCCCCTGACGGCTGATCGACGTCTCGATCCTGCTACGGCGACGAAAGAAAATAGGAGGAAGAGGAGGGGCGGGGGAAGCAGGCGCACGGAGTCAGGGGCGCGCAAACATGGATTAGCGATCCATGGATTTGGCGCGCGGTCGCCAAATCCATGGATCGGGAGGTGCCCTCCCCAAAATGCTGCCGGTGCCGCCTCGTTCGGCGGCGGAAATCCGCACTTTCCCATGGAAACGGGACCCGTCGCTAATCCACGCCCCCTTGATCCATGTTTGCGATCGCCTGAACGGAGCCAGTGCCAGGCAAGAATTCCTTCAGGTCTCCCAGCTCGCCGAGCGCGGCCTTGGCCTCCACGCTCTTGGCCACCTCGGCGGCTCGGGGGGTCGGGGGCCACGGCCCGCAGGCGCGAGGGCTCGAGGCTTCGTCCAGCCCCGCCCACCCACTCCTCGTCCTCCTCGTTTCCCCTCTTCCAGATTCATACCCCTCTTCCAGATTCATATACCCCTTGCAGATTCATATACCCATCTTACAGATTCATACCCCTCTAACCGCTTCATCCAGCCCCTCGTCCAGATTCATACCCCTTCTCCACCTCCGCATCCTCCGTCTCCACCTCCTCCTCGCTCGTCGCTCGCCTCCTCCCTCCCCTTCCTCCCTCCTGCCCCGCCCCCCCACCCCGCCCTATCCCTGCTGCTGGCACAGCTCGGCGAAAGGTGCGGCCCTGGCTGCAGGACGCATCGGCATTCTCCCCCTGACAGCGCGCGGGCTTCCTCCAGGCAGAGAAATCCGGATCTGGGCATCGACTGCCCCGAGCTGCGGCCTGTGGCTGGCAGGCCGCCGACTGCAGGCCACGCGGCTCTGCCGCATCAGGCGAAGGCAGGCCGGCAAGTCTACGAGGAGGCTGCGGCCCTCGGAGCGCGCCGTGTCTTGGCAGAATGCGCCAGCGCCGCCTCGGGCCCGCCTCGGGCGGCGGCGCCTTGGCAGGAAAGGGCCGGTGGCTGAAGCCCTCCCCGACGAGGCACGGCGCCCGCAGCTCGCTGGCTGAGGCCGCACCGGCCTTGTGGAAAGCAGGGGGCGGAGCCAAGGAGGGTAGCGTGCAGAACACGCCACACGGTGTTGGCTGAACCACCGCCCGCATGCTGAGAGCGATGGGTCAAAGCGTCCGCACAGGCTGCGCAGCACACGCAACCGGCCGCGAGAGCAGGGGACAGGGCGAGGCCGAAATACTGGGCAGGGCGAGACACGGCGTTGGCTAAGCCGAACGGCTGGCCATCCAGCAGAGACATCGGCTGCTGGGGGCGGCACAAGGGAAGGCGCCTGACGCATTCAAAGGGGCTTGGTGTAACTAGATGAAGCTGCTGTGCCAGAAAAGTGCCGCCTAGGGCAAAAAGGATCAGAGGCCCCGCGGCTTTGTTGTCTCTCCTGCGACCAGAATACGAGCGGGGCTGAGTCGACCCATCGGTCGTTGGACGAGTAGGTAGAAGCATGAAATAGGAGGGCGTTGGAAGTAAATTGGGTTTCCGCCTCCTCCTGAAGAGGAGGGAAGAGGGAAAAGCACTCGACTCTTGAAATAGAAAGGCGCTGAAAGTAGATTGGAATATGGGAATACTCTCAACGACCGATGGGTACGATACGACTGGTTGGCGGATGCGGAAATCGACGGGTTTGCTCATATGCCAGCTGTGTCTATGACAGGATGGCCTGCATAGCACGCTTTGATAAGCTGTAGGCCGCTGGAGAACCAGTGGGCGATCTGAAAGTATGGGATGCGCATGGTGACTGAAGTGGCGCCCGCTTGGTCTGTCCTAGCTGCGCATGCGTGAGTCATCGCGCGTGTTCAAGCCGATGCTAAGAAGGAAGAAGCAGGGAGGGAGGGAGGGAGGGAGGGAGGAGAACGCCCCTTTCAAACACAGCCGAAAACAGAGCTGGTGCTCTGTAGGCGGGAGCAGGAGTGCGGAGGGGGGGGAGGAATGAGGGAGGAAGGGGGAAGGAAGAGGGAAAAGGAGGGACGCAAACACAGACGCAGACGCGCGAGTCCGCCGGCCGGCGGGCCGGCAGGCCCCTTAGGGGCGGCGCGGGCGGGCCGGAGCCCGGTCACATGCATGCGAACTTCAAGAAGTCGCTCTCGAGGTCCGCCCAGAATTTGGAAGTTGCAGCACTCTGTAGCCATGTGCCGGGTGTGTTTCCAACCAAAGCATTTTGCAAAAATTCTGTGATGTCGTCATTCCACCGCTTTCGCTGTCCGCCGTGTCGGCGTCGTGCTGCCCGGGGGTCATGGACATCAGGTTCCCATGCCGCCGCCAGTCGGGCCCAGCTGTAGTGTGGTTGTATAGCAACTCGCCAAGCCCATCTCCATACACGCGGGTGAAATATTGTAGCCCCTCCCTCCACACGTGCACGCTTCGCAAAGTTTGAGGCGGCGTGGGTAGCCTTGCAAATGAAATTGTCCCAGGATTCAAAATCATATTCGTCGTCGACGTCGTCAAAAGTCTAGTTGCTGTCTGACGCTGGATTTGCTGTCGTCACTTGTGCTGTCGACATGCTGTTCAGTGTCGGGGTTGGTTGTGTTCTCGTCGGTGCTGGCGTGGAGTTGTCTCTGTCGGCGTCTCGAGGTACTGACAATGAGTCGTAACATGCGTCGTTGGGTGCGTCGGAGTGTCAGGAGCATGTCTTTGGTGAGAGACCACATTGCGCAACCATACATGACTGTTGGCGTCACCGTCCCGTTGAAGAGCCTGAGTCTGCTGCGAAGGGGGTACTGGCTGTTTGTGAACTCGTTGGGGAACTGGTTGAATTTGCGCCACCCCGTTGCAAGTCTGTTGGTGAGCTCGGTCTGGTGGAAGTCATGCAACGTCAGCTTGCGACCCAAGTATTTGGTGCTCTCCTCGGCGCTGAGGATTTCGAACTTGTCGTCGTCGATGTCCACGTGTGTAACGCATCGCCCCTGTCGCCTGCCAACATATGTGAGGATGTTCGTTTTGTCGGGGTGCAACGCAAGTCCACACTTCGCGACTTCGTGTTTGAGGTCTCGCAAAATACACTCGAATTGCCGTAGACTGGGTGCTAGGAAGAGTACGTCGTTAGCAAACCTCACGTTGGTCAGGCGCGTCGTCTGTGCACTTCCCAATTGTATGACGAAGCCCTTTTGTGTCCAATATGGCTAATGTTCCGGAATGTGTGCTCGAGTAGCGCGTTGCACAAATATGACCTGAGTGGGTCCCCTTGCTTGAGGCCGCGCTCGATGTTGAATTGTCTGCTTCTGACGTCGGTCTTTACCATGGTTTTCTGGTCGTTGTAGAAATTCTGCAACAAGGTGATGTAGGGTTCTGGCACATCTTGTTTCCGCAGGGCTTCCCACAAACATGGGTGGTCGACGCAATCGAAGGCCTTCTTGGAATCGATAGCAGCTATCCAGAGTGGGAGCTGCCATTCGCAGGACTGCTCGTAAAGAAACGTTGCAGTGAAGAGGTGATCCTCTGTGCTCAGGCCCTTGCGGAAGCCACCTTGGTCAGGTGATTGTTGTGCGTCGAAAAAAGTGTCAAGTCGGTTGCAAAGTAGTCGGGACATGAGTTTGTATAGTAGCGGTATGATGGCGATTGGTCTGCAATTGCTTGGTAGTTGCGGGTCTCCAGACGTGTAGATTACGCTGTTGGTGGTGTGTGTCCACTGTTCCGGCGGCGTCTGCTCAGGTGTTACAATGTCGTTGAAGAGCACCAGCAAATGCTGCCCAATCGTGTCCACCCCTGCTTTCAGCAACTCCGCGGAGAGCCCAGCCGTGTCCTTGCGCTTGCCATTTTTGAAGTGCTTCACTGCTTGGTGCAACTCTTCGTGGGTAAAGGATGGAATGCTCTGTCGAGGTCGCCGTGCTTCCTTTCTTTGGGCGTCAGGGGTGCTAGTGGGTGTAGGTAAGGGTGTGCTTTCAGGGCGCCCGTACAACTCTTCATAGAAGTCCGCGAAGACGTCTGCTATCCCCTACCGGTCCGTCTCGTTGGAGCCCTTTGCTGTTGTCATGGCGGGTATGAGGTCCTTCTTCTTGCTAGACCTGATCCCAGAGATCCTGTTCAGGCCGCGGAAAGTAACGATGATGTCGTTCAGGATTGTCTGCCGTTGAGCCCTTTTGATGTGCAGGTGTGCACGTAGAATGCGTTTGCTAAGAACTGTTCTGGTGGCTGTGTCGGTGTGCGGTGTGTTTCTGCGTTGCGTAATAAGTGCGTGCAATTGTTGCTTCGCCACGTCGTCGCTGCTAGCTGTGTTTTGTGGAAGTGGTTGCTGTTGATCTTGCTGTTGTTGGTAGTCTCTCTGAGCTGCTACAAGTGCTTGTTCGATGTGTGCAGCGGTGTCTCGTGTGCCCTTTGGCGGGTTGTTGGTAGAGAGGTGTCTCGTCAAATGGTGTTGGAAGTCGGGGTCGTTTGGTCGGGGAGGTTTTGGTGCTTGTGAATATGTTGTCGTTTCCGTCGTCGTGCTCGGGGTGTCGCGTCGTCCAGTGCTAGTCGGAGGTGCACGGCTTGGTGGTCGGAGCCGAGGTCGGGACACGTCGTGGCGAATGAGTCAAGTACCAAATGCCGGGCCCGCTGATCCATAAGAATGTAGTCGATCTGCGTTTGCTCGTGGTTGGTGCCAGCGCTTGTGTACGTGAAGACGTTGTCAGAATGCTTGCAAAACATCGTGTTTGTGATAGCGAATCTGCGCACGCACGCCCACGATCTTAGCCAAGTGCCGCGCTGGTTGTACCCGCTCTGCCCGTAATTGCCGATAGTACGGTTTTCTGCCCTGCGAATGCTGGAATCGTCGTCGTCGTCGTCGCTCTGTTTGCCAACTCGTGCGTTGAAGCCTCCTGTGATGATGGTCGTCCGGTGTTGTTGGTGGGCGTCGGCGTATTTCTGCAAATACGTCGTACATGCATTGCACGTGTTGGTCGCTGTACCCTCCGTGTGGGAACTAAGCCGTGATGATTCGGAGCGGTTGTTGCGGGAAGTCGACGTCGATGTACGCGACCCGCTCGTTGACAGCTTTGAATCTTCGTATGCGTCGCGCATATCGTTTGTGGACTAAGAATGCAACGCCTCGTGTCGGACGGTCATGTCCAGAAGCTGCGAATATGTGCGCACCAGGCTCAATGACCCAATACTCTCGTTTTTCTGTCCGCCATGTCTCATTGAGCGCCACAACGTCCCGTCGTATGTCTGAAAGCTCTTGCACAAGAAGATCGATCGCTGAGTCGTTAGTGAGGCTCCGGGCGTTTTTGCGTATGACCGTGAAGTTCCCGTCGTCGTTACTGCGTCGTGGAATCGTGGTTGTGGTATGTTGGGAAGCTGCGTTGTGTGTGCTGCGATTGTCGCTGTCGGATGCTGTGTGGCTAGCGTCGGCTGCTGCTGGAAAGAGCGCGTTGGTCGCAGGTCCCATGGTACGTCGCCTTCTGAGTGGCTGTATCGTCCTCGTCCGCCGCCGATGCTGGGTTGAGAGATGCGCTGTTGTTGCAATTGTAGATGATGTTCCGGCCGCGGATGTAAATTCCTGTCGGAAGGCGGAGGTGAGAGTGGGAGGTCGGATATTGGAGGTCGATGGTCGGAGTGCTGGGTTGGTGGGAGCTGGAAGTCGACAGGGAGGAAAGTAGGGAGGCCTGCCGTGGCCAAGGTGATCAAGAGAAGGTGCTCCACCATGTCTCACAAGCACATACCCAACACCCCGCCCGATACCCCGTTGCGTTTCCCCCAGCGCGCACCGACCGAACCCACCCCCAAACGCGATCCACCACCGCCCCAAACGCCCCAGGCGAAGGACAAGCCCATTCCCCCCACGTGGCCAATGGGGGAACGAAACAGCTTTCTAATCAGGGCTGCAAAACGAATCTGGCCGTGGCGACAAGGGCTCACCTGGAGGCCCAAACATCGGTATCGGCAATTGTTCCTCATCTGGGCCCACCCCCCACGCTTACTGGACAACTCGGAATACCCACTGGCGGGCGCCACTTTCGAGTCGGCGGGCCAATGAGCGCTCCACCAGCCAGTGATGAAGCGATGTCCATTGCGAGACGTATGAGAGAGAAGCGGCAAGGACCCCGTGAGGCGGAATAGTGGCAAAGCCCCGGCGGGCCACAAATCTGGCTAAGCAGCGAAGCTCGACTGGAATGCCTGGCCGCAGCTAGACTTGCTGCTCACGCAGCGGAAGCCGCCCGGGAGAGCACGTGTGATCCAGGCAGCAGTGAGCCACAGGCCCGCTGGATGGCGGCAAAGGAGCCAGGAGGCAGCACCCCAGCTGAGAGCCTCCTGACCCAGACATGCAACGTCCCCAACAAAATGAAGGGGGAAATGTGTGGTCTCGGCATCCTCTGGGCATCTTAGGCCGCTCTTAGGACCCAACTCAGAAGGTCCCTGGGGACAGCCACTTCTGAAGATCTCTGGCTCTTCTGGGTCTCCACGGCCGCCAACTGCACAGGTCTCTGAGGGCCCTCGGAGGCCGAAAAAAACACAAAATTCGCCGGCCCAACGGGCCAGAGGCGTGCTAAGATCTCCAGTAACTACTTAACAATATTTCTAGTTCGCGCGCGCGGGGCGGCCCCTGGGGGCCCCCGGACGAAAACTACCCTGGCCGATCCCTGGCCGGGTCCCGGGCGATCCCCAGGGGGGAGACTGTTTTTCGCCACCACTCACGAGGATCGTGCCCCCCGAGGGGGTGGTTGCAATCGACTACCCCCCCTCCCGCCCCAAGGGGTCCCCAAGAGCCCCCTAAGAGGCCCCTGGGGAGCCCAAGACGCGCCCCAAGAGGCCCCAAATAGCGCTCCTGGGCCGGCGGAATGAGCGAAGCGATTAAATAAAAATCCAACAGCCTCCATCCTCGGGCCCCGACCCCGGACTCCGGCCGCCCACCCCGTCCCCGCAGGCGCCTCCCACTGCCTCAGGCTCCCGCTGCGGATGCTGTCCACGAGCTGAGCGGCCCGAGCGCCCTCGGGGCACCGAAGGAGGGCGGGTCGCGGCCGCAGGCGCCCGCGCGCGCCCGCGCGCGCCCACACGCGAACCCGCGCTCGGTGCGTTCCGAATGCACCGCGGGCCCCGAAATCAAGACGGGGCTGGCTGGACCTTGACGCAGGAACTACGTTGGGAGGGAATCGAACAGACTCGAGGGTTTGGGACGCTGTTGGCTCTTATCGAGTTTTTGGGCCGGGAGCCTCCAGAAGGACACGGGAAGCATGGCATGCAAACCTTCGCCACAAGGAGCTACGAACTGGGAACCGAAGCCTCCTCCTGAGCCCCAGCTGCGACAAACCCTGGAGGGGGCGAGGAAAACCAAAACAAAATGATCCTGGCTAAGGGCTCAATCATATGCAGTTGTGAGTATCGTCGTTGTGGGTATCGCCTTAGGTGGATCTTCCTTTGGGGCCACGAAGCGTGTGAAGGGTGTGCCGAGATGGGGCGGGGACGCATGCGGGCGCAGCCGTTGGGGCCTTCGGTGGCGCTCCCTTTGGGCCACGAAACGTGTGAGGGGTGTGCCGAAATGGAGCGGGCCTTCGGTGGAACTCCGTAGAGGGCCGCGAAACGTGTGATGAGTGCCGAAATTGGCGGGGAGGACGCATGCGAACGTCGCCACGGGGGCCTTCGGTGGAGCTCCGTATGGGGCCACGAAACGCGTGAGGGGTGTGCACGCACTGGCGGGGGGAGGCGCATGCGATCACAGCCAGTGAAGCTTCTTGTGGGGCCACGAAACGCTGTACTGAGTGGCATAGACGCATGTGGTCACAGCCATTGGGGCCTTCGGTGGAGTGCCCTATGGGGCCACGAAACACCGTGGCGCCGGACGCATGTGGTGGCAGGCCAATGAAGCCTTCGGCGGAGCTCCTTATGGGGCCACAAAACGCCGTACTGGGTGGCGCGGGACGCACGTGGTTCCAGCCACTGAAGCCTTCGGTGGAGCTCCGTACGGGGCCACAGAACGCCATACTTGGTGTCGCGGGACGCATGTGATCACAGCCACTGGGGCCTTCGGTGAAGCTCCCTCTGGGGCCGCGAAACGCCATATTGGGTGGCGCGGGACACATGTAGTCACAACTCAATCACTGAGGCCTTCGGTGGAGCTCCTGATGGGGCCACGAAACGCCGTGTTGGGTTTCGCGGGACGCATGTGGTCACAGCCACTGAGGCCTTCGTTGGAATTCCCTATGGGCGGGCCCACGAAACGCTGTACTGGGTGGCGCGGGACGCATGTGGTCACAGCCACTGGGGCCTTCCGTGGAGCTCCCTGTGGGGCCACGAAGAACCGTGCTGGGCGACGCGGGACGCATGTGGTCACAGCCACTGGGGCCACGGCTCGCTGTACTGGGCGCGGAGGGGAGAGGCAGTGATGGGAGGATGAAGAGGGGGCAGCGGGTGGGAAGGAGACGCGACGCTGTCTCGTCAAAGCGAAGACCCAACACCACAGGACGACTGGGAAAAAATAGAATGGCGAAGGACCCAACCATGTGCAATCGGCAATACCTCAAGGAAGGTGGGACGAAGGAGGGGGAGCTCGTTATGGGGCCACGGGACGTGTGAGGAGTACGTCAACATGAGCGGGGGGGGCATGTGGACACCGCCGCGAGGCCTTCGGTGGAGCTCCCTAGGGAAAGGGGGCACGAAACGCGCGAGGGGCGTGCCGAAATGGGTAGGGGGAGACGCATGTGATCACCGCCACTGGGGCCTTCGGCGGAGCACCTGGCAGCCTAGACAAGGCCTGGAAAGCACCTGGGAATGGTCGGGAGCGCCTGGCTTGGAAGCCCCTGGGAGCGCCTAGGAGCGCCTGGGAACGCCGGGACCGCCCGGGAGCACCGGGGAAACGCTCGGAGCGCCTGGGAACCCCTGGGAGCAACTGGGAAGCTGGGAGCGCCTGGGAGCGCGCTCCCGATGGGGCCACGAAACGCCGTACTGGGTGGCGCGGGACGCTTGTGGTCACAGCCACCGGGGCCGTCAGTGCAGCTCCCTAGTGAGCCACGAGACGCCGTACCCGGTGGCGCGAGACCCGCGTGGTCACAGTCAATGGGGCCTCCGGTGGGCCTCTCTGATGGAACCACGAGACGCCGTACTGGGTGGCGCGGGACGCAGGTCACTGGGGCCACGAGCTCCCTGTGGGACCGCGAAACGCCGTACTGGGTGGCGCGGGACGCGTGTGGTCACAGCCACTGGGGCGCTCGGTGGTGTTCCAAATGGGGACACGAAACGCCGTATTGAGCGGATCGGGACGCCTGTGGTAAGCCACTGGATTTTTCGATGGACCTCCGTAAGGGGCCACGAAACGCATTACGTAGTGGCGCGGGACGCATGCAGTCACAGCCGCCTTCGGTGTCAGGGGTGCGCCGAAATGGCTGGCGCGGACGTGTGTGGGCACCGCCACTGGGGCCTTCGGCGGAGCTCCATCTAGGGCCACGAAACGTGTGAGGGGCGTGCCAACATGGGTGGCGCGGACGCACGTGGACACCGCCACTGGGGCCTCTCGTAGAGTTCGGCCACCAAACGTGAGCTGTGTGCCGACATGGGTGGCGCGGACGCATGTAGACACCGCCACCGGGGCCATCGGTGGAGCTCCCCATGGCCACGAAATGTGCGAGGGGTATGCCGAAATGATTGGCGCGGACGCGTGTGGACACCGCCACTGGGGCCTTCGGTGGACTTCCTTATGGGGCCACGAAACGCGAGAGGGGTGCGACGATGTGGGCGTCGCGGACACACGTGGACACCGCCAGTGGGGTTTTCGGTGGAGCTCCCCGTGGGGCCACAAAGCGAACGAAGGGTGCGCCGACATGGGTGGCGCGGACGCACGTGGACACCGCCACTGGGGCCTCTCGTAGAGTTCGGCCACCAAACGTGAGCTGTGTGCCGACATGGGTGGCGCGGACGTATGTAGACACCGCCACCGGGGCCTTCGGTGGAGCTCCCCATGGCCACGAAATGTGCGAGGGGTGTGCCGAAATGGCTGGTGCGGACGCACGTGGACACCGCCACTCGGGCCTTCGGTGGACTTCCCTATGGGGCCACGAAACGCGAGAGGGGTGCGACGATGTGGGCGTCGCGGACGCACGTGGACACCGCCAGTGGGGTTTTCGGTGGAGCTCCCCGTGGGGCCACAAAGCGAACGAATGGCGCGCCGACCTGGGCGGCGCGGACGCATGTGCACACCGCCAATGGGGCCCACAGTGGAGCTCCCTATGAGCCCACGAAACGACTGAAAGGTGTGACGAAATGGCTGGCGCGGACGCATGTGAACACCGCAACTTGGGCCTTCGGTGGAGCTCCCCATGGTGCCACGAAACACGTGAGGGGCGTGCCGAATTGGCTTGGGCGGACGCAAGTGGACACCGCCACTGGGGCCTTCGGTGGTGCTCCCTATGGGGCCACAATACCTTGGCGCGGACGCCAAACGCCCCGGCGCGCTGCACCGCGACGACGGGCGCGGCGCTCGACCCTGGCCGCGCGCAGCAGTGCCCCGAGCCGACCGCGGCTCGGGCGCTAGCCTGCGTCGCCGGCCTAGCCGAGCACCCAGCGCGAACACCCCAAGCTGAACGGCCACACAGGGAGCGGCAGGCAGCACAAAAGCCGCACCGCAGGTGCCTATCGCCGAGCGCGGCGGGACACCCGCCAAGCCGAGCGCGCGCGGCGCCCCCCCACCCCCGGGCTGCGTACGCGCCCCCTCGCGCGCCCGCCAAAGCAGGGCGGACTACGCAACGCCCTGCGCCCATCGCTGGGCTTCGCGTCGCCCCGCGCCGCTGCGCGACGCGCGGCGCCCCCCCCCGCCCCTCTTCGCCCCAGCGAAGGGGCCGGGGCGGGGGCGCCCGCCCCGCTGTTTCGCGACCGCGATCAACATTGCACGATGATCGCCCACCTCAGACCCTTGGGGCGGACGCCAAACGGCCCGGCGCGTCGCACCGCGACGCTGGGCGCGGCGCTCGACCCAGGCTGCGCGCAGCGGTGCCCCGAGCCGACCGCGGCTCGGACACTAGCCTGCGCGGCCGGCCTAGCCGACCGCCCAGCGCCAACACCCACTGCCACGGAGCGCTGGGCACTCGGCGGGCGGCCCAGCCGCGCGCGCCACGCGCGCGCAGGCGCAGACCCAATGCACCGCGCTGAATCGCGCGCCGCCGGAGCGCCAGCGCGCGCGCTCCACCCGGCACGGGGCCCAGACACTTCTCCCCACGCATCGCTGGCAGCAGAGCAACTGTCTCCAGCTTCGAGGGTAGCGCCCCGATCGCGAGACTCAACGGCCAGATGCTCCTAGAAGGCAGCGCCCCGCCACCCGCCCGCGCGAGGCATCTCGGCACGGCCGGCCCCGCGCTCGCCCGCGTCGAGCGCGCGCCCGTGACGAAGCGCCACTGCGTCGAATTCCGGCAGCCAGCCGCCCCGACCGCAATTAGGATGGCGGCATCGGCGTCAGCGGGAGGGAAGCTCGCGAAGGCCTGCGCGCCTACGCCCTCTCTCTCGAAGCATGCGCCGAGGACGCGCACCGGGCGCGTGCCTTTACCGCCCTCAGTGCGGCACCAGCACCTGCGCAAAATTGTAACAGGCCGTTCCGAATTCTTGCGCCGCTGCAGACGCAAACCTAGCGCCTCTGCCGAGAGGCACGCCGACACCTGGCGCTGCTCGTTGAGCGCCGAGGCATCGAAGACAGCGATCAAGCCCTTAACGGGTAGGCGCAGCAGAAACGCATGCATGAAAATCATAAACGTCGCCACGTCCCCCCTGACCAACGCAGCCACCGCGCCCGAGATGCTCGCCCCGACTATTCTCGGCGTACTGTACGACACGCTTGACTCTCGGGGACGCCGGGCGCCTCTTCGCGACGCCCAATCGCGCGCGCTTCACGGAGCGTTCGCCGAAGGCGGCCGTCGCCTAGCTCGGCCGCCGCGCACCAGTGCCAGCAATAATTTGCGAACACACCGCACGCGCGGAATAGCGCACAGGCGATCTGGAGGCCCACCGCGCC